AGGGGACTTAATATTGGCGCTTTTTTCGGGATTCGTCCTCTTCAAATTTATGGTTTTACAGGAGATTTGCCTTTCGGCGGTCTTCTGTTTTTTATCATTGGGTCACATCAGTAATTGTTACGTCATTAACAGGGGACTTAATATTGGCGCTTTTTTCGGGATTCGTCCTCTTCAAATTTATGGTTTTACAGGAGAATCCCCTTTCGGCGGTTTTCTTTTTTTGTTTTTAGTGTACTCAGTTTTATCAAAAGCTATAATGGCTCTTGGTTTTATTTTTGAAAAAATGTTTTGGGGGTTTTCATATTAGTTACCGTATTATTGGTAACAAGAAAAACATGTCAACTTTTCAAGTATATAGCACGATGTGTACCACTAATTCACAGTTCATTACTTTGTATGGCTATCTCTAAATTATTAAAAAAGCATGGTAAGATTTGATTGCCGTTTTTGACTGCCAGGCTCTGTGGGTTTTCGGTTTCCATCGATTTTTATTGTGGTTTTTCACTTCTCGCCCTTTTTTGATTAGTTTATTTTGTTATTGTTTTTTGCAGTCTTTTGGATTGATTAATAGGGGTTTCTGGGTAACTGCCCACCTACCCCTTCCCTAAGTTAACATTAACACTACTTTTCACTTAGGGCAAAATTGTGACTTAGGGGAGGGGTAGGTGGTCACCATTTATTTATTTATCTATTTAGCTTGAAAACAATAAAATCTGCCAAAGAGGAAAATGCGAACGCTTCACGCGATGCGTTTTGGGTGAAATCAGGTTGAACTGGGAATTAAAATAAGGTTGGGCAAATGTACATGCTTAAACCAGTTAGTCCGCTAATACCAGTTCAGAGGCACCTTCTCGTACTGGTTAACTATCTGGTCTTTGCCTTTTTACTGTAGTTTTTCACTTTAAGTTCAACAATAATTTCAAATATTCCTCCTCCTTTTTAATCATTGAAAACGTTCGAAAAGTCATCCAAAACTTTCTTTAACATTTATTGAACCGATGACTGCAACCTAATTGTGTCAGTTTTCTGTGAATGAAATATTGGCTAGATTTTTGGGAAAAAGAAATGAATAAAAAACACGGCTTTCAACCAGAATCATCCATTAAAGTCATTATTTTAAAACCATCCAACAAAAAGTCCATCAAAATCTTTAAGGTTTTCCCGTTGTTTCGTAATTCCTTTTTTCATTGAGGGAGCTTAAGCTACGACGACGGCGAGGGCTACAAAAAAGTCACTGACAAAGTGAAGCCTGACTTCATTGCACTTATTCCATCTCGTTCAATTCGTCAAATGCTGGCAATTTTTTCTGGAGTTGAATTCTAAAAGAGTGTACCGAACTTCAAGAAAAGAAAAACATGGTCGTTCTTTTGTGCTCACGTCCGTCGCGTAGAATTCCCGGTCCATTGAGGTCAACAAAAAATTTCCCTTTCGGGTGGGGCTTAGTATTTTGCTGTTTCTATCCGTGACACTTCTAAATGAAGCATACATGAGATAAAAACAACAAAGCGGTCAAGGAGAACTGGAAACAAGCTTGAAAAAATAAATGTCGTTCTTTTGTGTTCACGTCAGGCTCCACAGTACCTGAAAATAAGCATTCAGTTCACGTCGTAGTACATCATGCAGTAACGGCAAATAAATGTACAAAAAAGCGTGATGCACGTGCAGAGTTGTTGTTTTGCCAATCTAAATCTATTGTTTTTTACTGTAACGGCAAAGAAATGTACAAAAAAGCGTGATACACGTGAAGAGTTGTTGTTTTTCGAATCTAAATCTATTGCTGTTTTGCCGTTCTCGTTGACGTCGCCTTCGTCGTTACTTAAGCTTCCTATTGTTCATCAGCCATCTTACTTTATTACGTTGTTAAGTATTTCCTTTCATTAGCACGACGTACTTTATTAGTCCGCATCATTCTTTGGGATTCAATTTCTGTTCTTTCCGTTGTAGCAGCGTTGACCAAGAAATGAAATGAATCTTTTTCATTTTGCTACCTTATTTTGTTTACTTTTTTTTTTGTCGTCAAAAATTTTGTTTTTTTCCCTTGGTCCGTTAGTAATAAACCGTTATATTAACAGTTGTAAGAATTCTTACCTTTCAAAGTCTCTTCGTCAAAGTCTAGTCCTTGTTCACCGGGTGATGTGACATTTTTTTGACTCTCACTTCCTGCTTTGATTTCACTCTCCGCCATGATCATGAAACCACGAATGCTTGGATCAAGAAAATAAAGTTGTTTGAATTTTATCATCACGCAGCAATTCTTTAAAATTGTGGTTTAGTTTATCATCGGATTCATTAGATGTTAAATTTAAAAAGTTTCACGAATCAACTGGGCTTTAGTCCCGGCTAGGCAAGATTGTACTGACAAATGTGCCATCCATCAATGACAAACATCCCACCACCATCGGGCAGCTTTCCAGAAGCGCACAACCTATAAACTGGGCCCTAGAGGGGTTGGGGGGGGGGGNGGAGGGGGAGACTGAGAATACGTAGGACTAAATAATAAAACGTAATATAGTTAATTAAGGATTCCAAAGGAGTCACGTGCGGTATTTTTGGTTTTTCATTCTCGGCTATTAAGATCGACTTGAGTTTTTTTTCCGGTTCCACATGTTGGTTGGTTAGATTACCAACGGCGATTAGCCGCTTCTTTGTCCATGTTTAGGATTTGTCTTACATCGGTGCTTTGTTTTCGCTGAAATTTATTTTTAAAATGGTTAACTTTTGTTCACTGCAATAAAAAACTGGAGAGAGCGGAACCTTAAATTCGACAATCCAAGTTTCGTTTGTACGTCATAATTTAAACGAGAATTATACGCCTCTTACAGCACGAGTTTGACGACCTTTATTTCTGTGGAGAA